TGTATAATCTTGCAGTTACAATAAAACTGAAACATAGAAAATTTGATTTTCTAAATCATTCTGTTAGCCTAGCAAAAACAAAAAGTCAGATGCAATTAGATCACTCAGCGTCCATGTACAATTCAGCACTTCTTCACATTCAGAATAACTATGAGGCTAAACTGAGTCCAGAGTAGATAACAAGTGCCTGTTCAGGAAGACTTCACAGCATGGGGTGAGCAAACATTTCCAGACTGAACTGGTTCTGAACAAGCATGTTGAGGGACACCCACCAAGGTGGGCAGGACCACCTTCACCAATACCCTATGGCTTTCCATTACGATTGTCCATGCCCCATTCAGATACATCATCCCTATCCTGCCACAATCAGGCATTAAAAAAAAAGAAAAGCAAAAGCTACATTGTAGTGGGAAAGGGGAAGTTTTCAAAGGAAGGTGACAGTGTTGGGAAAGGGAGGGGTAGCATTTCCTTCCACAACAGCTATGCCAACCAATCCCCCCCCCCCCCAGCACACACCACAGTGAGGCTTTTAAAATGCTTTCATTGGTACCAGCCTTGTCATACCGTAAATGTTATTGTTGGAAAGTTGAATGCTTGTTATCAGAAATGGCGTTATATCAGTCTCACACGTCTTTAATGTAAGCCGGATTTTCATGTATAAGTCATACTTTCTGTTTTGCTGTGATGTGGAATACAATTGCTCTTAAATTCCATCTGTCCTTTATTTCATAGAAAATAATGTGGTCAAGACTGGAAATGCATTCTAGAACCCAAAGACCAAGACAGTTTCAGTCACATGTTCTGCAGCAGACCTGAGTTCTGCAATAATGTGGCATAAGAGTAGACAGAAAATTTCTAGGGGTTTAGGAAGAGAAGAAAGTTGTGGGTGAGGCTGGAAGGGGGAGGTCATATCAGTGTCTCAGGTCTAACACTCAGGTAAATGGTGTGTGACAGGAAGGTCATTCTAGCAGGACAGGTATATATAGGCGAGCTCTCACTTCCTTGTTTTCCAGCAATGTAGCCCCTCCCCACCACCTTCCGCTTTGCATCTGAAGACACTTGACAAATAGGTGGAGACTTAAGAAATCACAGAGATGGGTATGAGCTAATTTCAGTAAAGGAAGTGCTATGTGGAAAAACAGAAGATCTCACCCTGAATAGGTCTGAGAGAAGGCCTTCCCCCAGATTCACTGAGGAAAGGCATACACCATTTCTTGTCGCCTTAAGTTAGAGCATCCATCCACTATCCAACCTGCATGGGAATTAAATTCTACAGGAGAGGACTTTCTAGGCTTGTTGCCCAGCATATGTGAAAAGGCACAAATGCTGTGTCTCAAGCACTAGGACTGGCACTCTCTTGCCCTTTAGAAAGGGTGTGGAGATGCGGCTTTGCAATTTAGACTTTGAAACCATCGTTTTAGGGCACCGTCCTATGCATATTTATGCAGAAAAGGGTCCTACGGTTACCAGTATGCCCCAAGCAGCTATGCAGAACTTTTTCTGTGTTCTATAATTCATTAGTTTTTCTTTTTCTTTGGAGATTTCCTGTCACATACTATGTAAACAGTTCTAAATTTGGCTAAGAGATAAATGTTCTTTGTCCCTGGCAGTGCATTATAGGGCCTGGCACTAGGGCCAGCCCTCACCTGCTTCTGGTGTGGCCACCAAAGCTGACAGGACCCTCTCTGCTTTTCCCATATCTCTGCTGAACCATACATGGAAACATGGCCGCTGCCTGTTTATTTTTGCTAGTGCTGGTGGGGAGACAACTACCTTGCTGGTGAGGATTGGCAGGTTTTCACCCCTACCTCTAACCCCCAGTGATCCTGAGATTTCCACCCCTTCATGTTTGAGAAGAGTGTGTGTTTGTATGTGTATGTTCACACAGAGATATGTGCATGCATAGCTCCTGGTCCCCATAGACATGGGATGCAGCTCTTGGGGACCCCCCCCCAAGTGTATCCTTGGCATACAAGGACAATAAACAAACATTGCTTCATAGGCAATCCTATACTTATTTGCTGCTAAGTAAGTCCTACTGCATTCAGTAGGTACACAGCATTACAAAGCAATCCAATACTCCAGTTACACCAAATGTGGGGTGAGGGCTTGAGCTGCTGCTAAAATGGCACAACAGGGGCCATTTTGCATTCATGCTAAGCCTGGGGAAGGGAAAAACACACAATCAGAAATTACAGAAAGAGATCAAGAAAGCAAGACTGCCTTGGAAACACCTCAATATGCAATACTCCTTTATTAAGAATGTAAGAAAAGCCATGCTGGATCAGTCCAAAGTCCATCTGGTCCAGTATTTCATACACATGGTGGCAAACCAGCTGTCCTCAAGGTCCCTCAAGCAGGATGGGTGCAGGACCTCCTCCAGCTCAAGCTTCTCAGCCACTGCTGCATGCAGGTGTGCCACCAAAGCCGGTAGCCCGTAACCAGCAAGGCTAGTAGCCACTGAGAGCCTCCTCCCACACAAATCTGTTCGATCCCCTTTTAAAGACATCTGGACTAGTGGCCAGCACCACTTCCTGTGGCAGCTAATTCCATAGTTTAACTATCTTTATTTATTTCAATGTATGGTTGTGTGCTTTGACAAGGGTTTATCTGTTCATTGTTGTGCTAACTATATAGACATTCCCTTTCTTCTTGTGTGTTTTTTAAGATTCATCAGTGATCTCAGAGATGCACTCCCATATCGAACTGAGAATTCAGTGACATGTGCCATCTGTTTCTACCATGTCACATAGCTGTTACATTTCAGTTTGGTTTTTAAGGGAACAATGCCATGTATGTTAGGCAGAAAAATTCCTTTTATCCCTTGCATTCCCCAGGCTGTAGGTTTGCTTCTTGTTTGTTTTTTGATGTCTAAACATGGCTTGGATTGTGCCCTAAAACAATATAATTTTCTATACACCTAAGAATGCAAACATGTATGACAAGTCTTTCTCTCTGCCACCCCCCCCCCAGTATGTCAATGAAATCTAGTATCCTGTAATATTTACACTATTAGAACTCTCTCTAGTTCAGGTTAGGGTTATTATGTAAATAGAAACCTTGAAAACTGTTTGGTCTTTTTTATTTCCCTTGCTAGCAATGCCAGTTCTATCTCAGGCATCTCTTTAGCTCACTGTTTCTCCCCATCTTAGTCCCTGGCCTTCTCTTTCTCTGTACCTTTGACTTCTTGTTTTCCCCTCCCTCCTATTCTAGCTTTGCTATTTCTCTTTCCACCCATTTGCATTGCTGTTTGCCTCACAGCAGTCATTATATGGCTGGCTATTTCCTCTGTGGAGCCATTTTGTGCTGGTGGCCACAGTAAAGTTTCAAATTCCCAAGTGTGCTTATGTGCCCCAAAATGGCTGAAGACCCCTGGTTTATGGTGTCTTCTAATGTCTTACCCTGCCTTCTGCCCTCCGGGCTTGCTTTCCTTTCCCAAAGAATTTGCAACACTTTTTGAGTGTGAAGTGGTGTAGCCCAGCTCAGCATTCTACCACCTCACTTGATATGTAATCCAGGCCATAATATAGAAGTGCATCCACAACACAAAGCCACCTTTAGCTAGAGCCAACCAAAACACATGCCTCACAATGGCATTTTGGATTATCCGAAAGATTTCTTAGTTTTTCAGGAGGCAGCAGTGCGTGCTCTCTCCCCCTCTGTGTGTGTGTGTGTGTGTGTGTGTACGCATGCACGCACACGCACGCACACACACACACGTGTACTGCAGAGTGAAGACTGATTTGCTGCTCCTACAAAAGCAAGTCACTGCCTGTCTCAAGTCATAATTTTAAAAAAAAGTTTCTTAGGGTTCCTTTGTCTGAATCAGACATCTGACCTTTTTGAAGCTTGATCATCAGTTACAGTATATGAGACTTCCCACTAAAATGCTGTTTCACCATCTTATACACAGTGATAACTTTGTATGTCATAATATCTGAGGAAACTCATGTGATGCATCAAAACAGTCATCCCTTAGGAAGCTCAAAGCAGATATAGAACTCAGATCAGTGTTGCAGGAAAGTTTATGCAACATTTGCTGGGCATGATGGTGGAAACGGCTGTTGAAAATCCATTATTGGCTTTGTTTCTGGATATTCATAATAGTAATTAACAACCTACTGTGTAGTAAGCCATGGTTGGTTGGTTGGTTCAGATGGTTGGTTGCTTGGTTGAGATGAAATGATGATGCATCATGGGTACATAACCCCTCAAATAATTCATGGTTTGTCAGTGTGCTTGTTGGTTCAACTTTAGCCAGCTTTGAGGATCAGTTCAGGTTCACATGACACAACAAACCATCAGTGGGTTACTGCTTCATGAGAACATAGTCATTATCTCAGACTTTTGAGGAATGGTATGGGAAGCGAAAATGTCTGAAAGTTGTACCATGCTTGCTGTTGAGTCAGAATAGTGGGAAAGGTTATGCACTATATACTGTACTCTTTTTAATTTCATGGTTGTTGAGTGTTTTTAATGGTAGTATTTTGAACATCTGTAATCTTGGTAGTTTGGACTTTGGTATTAGCTTTAATGTTTGAAGTATGATGGGATAGAAAATTATCCAATAAACAAGGAATAAATGTTATAATACAGGCTCCTATCCTTCCTTTTAGTATGAAATAAAGCTAAAGAGACTCAGAGTCACCAATGTAAACCATTTTTGCATCTTCTAATAAACAGGTATTGTATAATATAGGATAGTATGGTAATATAACATAATATAATATAAATGTAATATTAGCATTGCATGTTCAGTAGATTGCAGAGAACAAAGCTGTGCAGTTTTTCCCCAAAACTTGAGCGACTGAGAAATTTGACAGAATGTGTATGATTGTGAGTCTCTCTCTCTCTCTCTCTCTCTCTCTCTCTGTGTGTGTGTGTGTGTGTGTGTGTGTGTGAGAGAGAGAGAGAGAGAGAGAGAGAGACCTGGGCTGATGAATCATTCTGCTTTTTACCTTTCTGTATTTGATCATCACTCTTCTTGCGTGCTGGATCCTGTTTAGCACAGACTTCTGCTTATGGAAGAGAGAGGAGCATTCTGTCCAAAGTATGAAGAAAGATGTGTTTGGGTTGAGAGGTGCTGTGTCAAGGAGTCAATAAACAGAGTTGGGTATTTATTGAAACCAGTTATGTTCCTTCCTCCTTCTCCGGCCCCTCCCTGGGCCTTTTTCGGAGCTGACCATTTGTGGAACAGGAAACGTCAGAGCTCTGAACTGCTGCGGGCCCCTGCATACTGCAATGATTTCCTTTCAGGCTGTCCCGTTATCTTTTAGCTGGCAGGACGTCCCCCTCCCTCCTTCCCTCCCTGCTCTGAAACCCCTCTCTCTGCCTTTCCCTCACCCTTATTTCTCTTAAACACACACGCACACACTTTACTGCCAAAAAAGTCCATCCTCCGCCCCCCTCCCCAGCTAACTTCCTTCCAGCATTTCCTGAGCTGGATAATCCCAGGATTTGTAAAAACAGGGGAAAGGGGAAAGCGGGAGAGAGTGCCTTAATGTAGGAAACCCGTTGCTTGTTCTACCAACATTGTCTGATGGTTGCAACAAAAAGAGGGCTTTAAAAAGCAGAGGTTCGCAGACTTGTCTGGTTCTCTTTTTTCTGCCACTTTGTATTTCTTTCTTTCTCTTTTTACAAGTTCATGGAAGAAAGGATTTGGAGTGTCTGCTAACTGAAGGATCCAACAAGATCTAGCTTGATTTAACCTGATTGGCAATTTAATTTGGCTTTGGATTTCCTGCGACCCAACAGCCAGGAAGTGAGAACCTCAGCTAACATCTGCCCCTGGGTTGCCGGTTTCATTGGAGGCATTGGTTCACCACCATCCACCTCCCTCTTTGGAGAACCCTTCTGAACTTGGGCTATGATCTCTCTGCTGCTGCCTGCTGGAGATCTCCGTATTGTCCTGACCTCTCCCTTCTGCGACAGCCGTAGCTGCAGCAGCTTAACATCTGGTGGGGATTAATGTTGCTATATCCAGCTGGAAGTTCTTCTGGACTTTTGATGTCGCTGACCGGAAACGGGACACGGGCAACGAGGGTCTGAGGAGAAGGGGGAGCTTTGCACTTGTTTAGTGCAAAACGAGGGGGGTGGGGGGAAAGGAAGGAGGGAGCAAACCTCTTTTTGGAACTAACTCATGAAGAACAAGGGAGGAAAGCCGAAACTCAAGAGAAAAGGAGCCACAAACGTCTTCGGCTGTGATCTGACAGAATATCTGGAGAGCTCAGGACAAGATGGTAATAAAAAGATGGCCTCTTTATTTCTTAATTTGGGTAACGGTGGGTCTATTGTGGTCCCTTTCAGCTGTGAAGGCTGATGTTTTGCAGCTGTAAAACATAGGATTGCTTTATCTGCTGTGGAGAGTGCCTATTGCCTTGCTCTCAATGTCCAGCCCATTATGTGCTTAGGTCAGTGAAATGTTTTGCTGTGTGGCAGATGGAGGGAAAGGGGAAGGGGCAAGAGATATTTACCACCAAAATTCAACTCTATGTATGGGGGAGAAAGATTTTTCTAATTCCAAGGTGGGGAGCAAGAAGAGGTGTTGAGATTGCTGTTTAGGATCTTTTTTCCCCCAAGACAATCCAAAATCCAAATTTTCACTGAAATCAATGGGAATAGAAGATAGTCGGAAGTTCTCAGAATAAGGATGACAAAGAAGCAGCAGTGGCTTTTAGGCCCCAGGAAAGTCTCCCCAATTTTCTTACATGAAAGACTGAGATGTAGGAAAGGGATGGACTGAAGTGGGAATAGCCACCAGTATTTCCTGTATTTCTTTACTAAAAACCCATCCCTCTTGCCTACAATCAATTTTCTCAAATGAGCTTATGATGTGTCAGACTGTAGGAGGTGTGGTGCAAATTTGTGGTGAAATAGATGGTCAGAGATAGAGAGAAATGTGGAATGTGGGCTGGGTGGCACGGTATATTGCTGAGTCTCTGAAGAGAAGAAGGAAGGCTTTTTCGTCTTCTTGGAAACTGTACATTTGCTGTTGCATTTTTAGGAATTACTCTCCGCCTGTTTGCTGTTGCATCTGAATGGCATTCCAACTTAAAGTTTTTCAGTTTCTTACAACTCAACATTTCCAGGGCAAGAGCTCCTTTAGCAATGCTATTAGGGCGTTTTGTCAATAACGGCAGGATGACAGTCATTACAGTCTCTGTGGAATGAATGCAGTAGTCATATAAACTATTAAACTGGGATTTCACAGCTAGACAGTGCCATGAGCTGCCAGAGTACATTGTGTTGCTCTCATGTTCTGTTTCATAGATATTCATGCTTCTGGTCTTCGCACAAAAGCAGGTTTTCCCAGATCAGTTGTAACACAGGGTTGAATGCAATTAGCAAATGTGTCAAGCATCAGTAGACAAGCATAACTGTGTATATTGGAAGCATTGGCTAAATGTAGCCACCTCTGAATTGCAGCTTTTCTTAGCTGGCCATCTTAACAAGAAGTAGAGGTAGGTAGGTAGGTAGGTAGGTAGGTAGGTAGATAGCAGTGCTGTAGGCCAAAGCATCAAGGACAGGCAAGGCATGTGAAAGGTGAATTTAAGAGGGGATTTCAGTATTTCAGGTAAGGCTTCCACAACTTATGACCTATCAAGTTAAATGTAGACCAGTCCACCAGTCATAGGATCCATTTGGGATTACATGATCCTGCCTGCTCACTACATGCTTCATCTGAAGCTTTGTAGGCATTTGAGATGGAGCATTTTTAGTGTCATGCCCTTCTTCAACAAACTTAATTGGCCTCCACTTTAATAGCTTTTTGGTGAATTGGAAAGTCAGTTTTATTTTGCCAAGCTTTGTATCTGATTTGAGTTCTTGCTGCCCTGATGCTGTGAAGAACAACCATGGCTCAGCAGCAGAATACACACAATGTATGCAGAAGTTTCCAGACTTTTCAGGTAGGGCTGAAAAAGTCTCTTGTGCTGCATTCCTGGACAGTCACCACCAGTCAGTGTCACCAATACTAGGCTAGATGGACAGTCCAATTGTCTGTCTCAGGAACAGACTGCTTTCTATGTTCCAGTGCATATCTTCTCTAGATGGGATTGGTTATTAGCATTGTTGTTGCTGCTGCTGCTGCTGCTGCATTTTCAAAATGCTGGTAAGCTCCCCATGAGGTTGAAATGGTGCATACAAAGATTGTGAGAAAGATAAATACATGTTTTGTGCTTTGCATGACAACCCTACCCCTCCACCCAGTTTTTGTATTCCCAGGCATTTGCATTCAGAGCCTTTGGTGGGCCACCATATATGGTTGGTGGAGTGCATTTGATATAGGGGATTACAGGTAGGGATGTCAGAGAAATCTGCAATGGATTCAGATGAGCTTGGCTTTCTATTATGCAGGGGAAAGTGGCTTTTATTAGTGCAATGGGGAATGAAATTCTTACACGCCCCTAAAACAAAATAATAGAAAAGTCCAGTTTCATTAATGAGTGGACAATGGAATAAGAAATGCTTGACAGTCCATGAAGCGCAGATGGAACAGATTCAACTACATCCATACATCCCTGATCACAAGTAGTACAGCTCTGCTTTTTCAGTGCAGCCTGAAAAACATAAAAAAGCCAGCTTTTATTTATTCTGGGGAAAGGGATAATTGGAGGAAGTCCTTACTCTCCATCACCAGTGAGTAAGGACTTTGTCAACAGTTCTGTACCCCTATGTGGGATGGTTAAGTCTACCAGCATGATCTGCGGTGAGGAACAAAATGGGTAAAAGTGAGCTCCTTTTCATGTTATTTGCTGAATGGCACATCCCGGTGGCCAGCCCTGTGCGATCTAGTAATGAAAGACTCTATTGTTACAGGAGACATTAGAAGGATGTGAGTTAGATCATAGGGTGTAGGTTCAATCTTAAGGATAACAGGCAGCAGAAGAGATGTGGGGGGCTTTACTCCTTTGTTCTGTGGCAATGCAAGGAAGTGGAATAATATCAAAGCCAAATTCATCTCTAGATAGCTGGGAGGGCAGACAAAGGTCAAAAGTCACTGGCAAGAGTTTTAGAAAGCTTCATACCTCCCTAATTGGAATCCTTGAGTTGAAAATTGCATCAGTAATGATAGGCCATCGGCCATCAGAAGAGTAACCTCTATTCAAACACTTCCCACCAATAGGGAGCAAGCAACAACCTTGAAAGAAGACATTTTCTACTTGTGATAACCAATTCACTTTATCTCCTGTGCAGAAAGGATGAACCCAGTGATAAAACTGGCAGCTACTTATTTGTACGGAAGGATTTAGGATTCCTTGGAGATCTTGTTTCTTCTTATGAGCTCACACACATAATCTGGGACTTGAGCATTTTATTTCTCATTCACAGTAAAAGTTTTACATGCGGAACTATATGAAAGCTGGTGTATTTCCTCCCCCCATCCTACACCAATGCACTCAGATGACTAATTAGAAGAGTGTATACGTGTACCAGTGTAGGGTGGTTATTGTCAAATCACATTGGTTTTGGGTAACTTTATTTTGGCTGGCAGCTGTGTTGCCTTGCACAGCAGTGATCCTAAATTCCAGCTTTCATTACAATTTAGGAAAGGCTACTGGCTAACTAGCTTTTCTTTGGGAAGAAAGAGTAAAGGGGATATCTAGATGTACTCACAGGAAGTGGTTTGGCAGTTCTATGCAGCTTTCTTTCCTCTGGGTCATCTCTTAGCAATCACCCTTGGCTTACGTAAAGAGGAAGGAGGGGAGGTAAGTCTGCTTCCAGAAATGCTTGCATTCAACTGAGATGTCAGTCCAAACACTTGCATGCTTGTCACTAAAGAGCAGAAAAGCAGCAAAGGCTGTCAATTTTTTCTATAGAAACTCCTTCAAGTGCTGATTGAACTGCCTGAGCCAATGATGGGATCAAACAACATGTGGAAGGCTTTCTCCTGGATCAATGATCAGTAGATGAAGGCAAAGCAAGCAAGTCAGGCTTATGCAGCCCCCTGGAACAGATGAGCAACATACTTTCTTATATGCTGTGGCTCTCAGTATTGCAAAGTTTTTGGATTGTCACTACCAAAGGTCTCCTATAGCAAAAGTGTGATCACCCACAGGCTGTGTCTAAATCACCCCCTCCCCTTTTTTCCCTTTCCTTTCCTTTCCTTGTTTACCATCTATCTTTTGCATTACATCTGCATCATTACAAACATGGATAGTGTTCCAAAGTGATGGCAATGATGATGAACCTGAGAGATGGCCTGAAGGATGGGAGACGGATCAAGTGCTGGAAACCAGAGAGCCCTCAAGAATTAGGGGTTGGTGTAGTTTTCCCACCCCGTGCTTTATCTTTCTGGGATGTGGCTTTCACATTGGCATTGTGTACTTGATAGAAAACTTTGGGTATTAGAAAATGAGAGAGGATGTACAGTTGGCAGAGGTTCACAAATTATGTCTGGGCTTCCTTGCCAAACATTTTTTTTTACTAGCCAGGAACAGTATTGTAAAGGTCTCTCAGAACATATGCTGTAGTGCCTTTCCATTTTTACCCAGCCAGTGGCAGCCTGCCCTTCCAACACAATTAATGGGAAATGCTAGTAGCAGTCTTTCTTTCTCTCCCCAAAATCCACTCCAGATTTTATTTTCTTCCTTGAAGCAGATTCCTTTTACAACCCAAAGTTTTTTTTTCTTCTTCTTAACTTATCCAAAGAAAAGAACTGATCTTCCTACCCACTCCTTTTTGCCATTGTGCAAAAGGACTTTGAGAGAGAAGCAGTTTTGCCTGCTCCTATTTGGGAGAGATACCTCTCAAATAATTAATTATGGTAATAAGCAAGGTATGGGGCATAGTATCATGTCAACTGCAGCTTGATCCGTTTTCACATGCAAAATGAACTGTATGGGAAGCCCAGAATTTATAATTGGTAAGAAACTGTATGTTTGGTAAACTTAGATGGATGAGTTGATTTTTACTTTGGACCCGCTAATTGGACCAATTATAATATTCTGCCATTCTCTGCTTTGCATGCTAACTATGATTTGTCAGCTATGGCTGAATAGCAGTATGTGCAAGCAAATCACTTGAATTAATCCAGGTTTGGTCCTGATAATTTTACAGCTTCAGAGTCCCCTCTGTTATGGGAAATTTTGGTTTAGGCTGAACAGCTATTCATGACAGCTTTATAAATATTTATTTTCAGTGAATAAATGTGACACATAATGTCAAGCAAGAATGGAATAACAGATGGGACTGTCCTATCTTTTGGGGGACTGTTGCGTGGCACCTATCTTAGAAGGGT